ACATAAACTTATTTTACCTGGAAAAAATTGTATATTTCTCTTAACTATTTTATTTTACTAATTTTATTAATTCTCTCTTGTTAATGTTTTTAGACTATTCCTATGTTATTACCGTTTTAATCCTTCTTGTATCAGAATTGTACTGTTTTACTGGCTCTTGCTGTAATAAATTAGATCGCTCAATCGGTAGGTTAGGCTGAGAGGCAGTAACTGGCTTAGAATCACCCAGTAGACTTCATAAAAGAGGGTTTGAACCTGGTCATGTATTCTCTAGTCCAGGCATTGCGAACATGGTCCCATGGGCATGCTGGTGCCCTCTGACACCTTTCCTAGTGCCCACCAAGGGTTTTTAGAAAGTGGGTGTGGCCAGGTGGGGCTCCTGCCCAGCAGGGCTTCTGATTGGCTACTGGAGATTTGATTGGTTGTACACATCAAAATAATGTTGTTTCCTCAGCCGCTGTGTCCAGAGTGTTTTTACTTTCTTTCTCTCCTTTCCCACTGTATTTTTAAAAATTACTCCTCTTGTCCCCTACATTTAGGTTTCCTCTGTATGGGTCTGCCTCCTGTGGCGGCCATTTTGCAGATGCACCCGCTACCTCCGTCAGAATTCCAAAGATACCCACAGGGTCAAAAAAGGTTGGGGACCTCTGCTTTAGTTTGACACTCTGACCAGTAGACCCCATGGGTCCAAAGGAGAGAGCCAGGCATGTCTGTAGGCTTGCTTGCTAAGCTGAATCATCACAGTGAGAAATACAAGCTGCCTGCTAGCTTTACCTGACGGATCATCACTTGGGAAATGTACAATAGGTTGCTGCATTGTTCGGTACAAATAACTGTACATTGGTATTTATCCTCCATCAGGAAGAAGACAGTTGGACTCTTCATGTTATATAACTTAGTTTGAAAGTGTTTGAAATGTGATGTTGTAGTTTGAAAGTGTTTACAATACACTAGAGTTGATGTTGTGTATAAAAAGCAAATATATTTAGCTATAAGTACATGTGAATATTGTGTTTATTATTTCAACACGGTGTTTTCTGAGTTTATCTAACTTAGTCGTGTTCCCTGTGTGCTTGATGTCTGTAGAAGGAACAGATAGGAGCCCAGCTTTTTAATCTGAACTAGAAACTTAAAGGGCAGTTTCTGCTGGTCAGGAAAGAGATGGCATCCCTAGAGATTCTCGTCCTCCTTCCCCAAACGAGCCCTAACCTAACCTTAATTGTGGGTTCAAAAGTGGCACAGCGGTATTTCCCCATTCATTTTGCCATGGGCATTCTACTGGTAAATTATGAATTGTCACAGTCAGATATTTGACTGGTAGATGGCATACTGCGATTTGAGATGTAGCCACGTTCTTGGGAATTGCACATTCTTGCCGATCCAAGCAACACTGTCTTTTGGAGCTGAGCTAGTGTCATTTGTTCAATGCCCAGGTGTTTCTTGAGACTTCTAGGCACTGCTCCACAGGTTCCAGTGACAACTGGTATGATGGTCACCTTCTTCTCCCAGAGGTGCGATAACTCTTCTTGTAGGTCTTGGTATTTTGTGGTCTTCTCCTGTTTTTTCTTTTCTATTCTGCTCTCTTCTGGGATTGCAGTATCAATGATCCAAACCTTATTTCTCACTTTTTCTACAATTGTGATAACAGAGGTGTTATGCTCCAGGTGTGTTTATCTGTTATAAAAGGAGATTCAAGACACACAAAAGGAAATATTTTACACAGAGAGTGATTAAAATGTGGAATTCACTGATAGAGGATGTAGTGATGGCTACAGAGATAAACAGCTTTAAAAGGGGTTAGATTCATGCACAATAGGTTTATCAGTGCCTACTAGCCATGGTGACTGAGGGGAACTTCCCCATTCAGAGGTACTAAAATTCTGAATCCCAGAGCCAGCAGGTAACATCATGTGAAGTTCTCACCCAGTCCTTGGCCCTCAAGAGGGACTGGTTGGCCCCTATGTGAGACAGAAAGCCGGACTAGTTCGACCACTGGTCTTATCCAGCAGGGCTCTTCTTTCATTCTTAAATATTTGGAAACATTTCCCATGTGCATTTATTGCTTGAACAGTATCCATCTCAGAAGCAGCATGACCGCTAGTAAAGATGCTTATGCTGTTTGTTACATATATGTTTTATTTTCTGATAAAATATTTGTCTTTTTTTTTTTTTAGTTTGGTATTCTACTGGTATCTGTACTTAAAATAAGAGAGACAGAGAGGCAGAACTGCAATTTCAAACTATTGGCACCCGTTTGGAAGGCACAGTTGAAGAGATTACCAGGATGACCGGCTGGTGTATGTTCAACAGAAATATATCATAAGCTATGAAAACAATACCTTTCTTGGCAAAACCCCCCCCAAAAATCTAAAAAGGCAGGATGAAGTCTTTTGTCAATTGCTGCAGTATTTTTTTTTTTTTAAATAAGCCAGCCGTAACCTTCCCGGTAGCTGCGATTCTTTGGTTATGTATTTCCAGTACTGACCAGAGGACGTTGCTGTTTAGTGTAGGCACTTAAACACAGTCAATGTGACAAAACCGAAATGATAAAGTACAGGCCCATGCCAAGAAGCAGCCGGACTGGTGGAAGTCTGCCTAATTCCTATGACTTCACATTCAAGGAAAAAGAAGGGACGGGATACATGTTATCAGAGGGTGAGTATAACATAACTTCTGGCAAGACTTAAAACAACTTTGTACAACTCCCCCCCTCCCAACAAGGATTAAGACATTCAAAAACAAGTTGTCTGTGTGGTATTTGTCATGGTTAACGTTTTAAAGCTAGACTTAATACAAGTGGTTTATTGAAGAGGAATCGACATTTTACAGACCTACGCTGATAGGAGCTGAGCTTTTTTTGTATAATCCTTTTTCCATTTTGCCAACAAGAATTTTAAAAGGGGCAGAGAGAGGATGAACTCTTAAGGGCAATGAAACCTCCCTCCCGCACATGTTAATTTCCACATATTAAATTTGCATCTGACAAGCCTTTATTGGCATATGACATATTAAATGCACAATAGCCAATTTCATTTTTATTTTCCAATCTGAAAAACTCTTGTTTATGGGGTTCTCCCACCAGCGTTTGCAAAACCCCAGCATCTCTTCATTCATTTGTATATCAGGCCCTTGTTTTTCACAAACTGCAAAATACAGATTCTGAATTTGCACCTGATCCCATTCTTGTATTGAACCACAGAAAAGTTCAAGTGATTCTCCCCGAGAGAAGGGGATGCATAGTGTGGGAGACAAACCACACATTTCCACCTTGCTGCCAATGCTCCCTCTAAGCTGTGGAGTCTTGTGAGCAAAAATTCTACTTTGTGAGCTGCTGGGATTAAAGTTGTGAGGGAGCAATTTGGCTACTGCATAAATTAGTTTGCTCTGGAGCCATCCTTCCTGAGCTAAGACACAAATTTGTGAGCCAGAGGTTAAAAACCTGTGAGCTAGCTCACGCTAACTCAGCCAAGAGGGAACACTGTTTATTATGGCCCACACATGCTGGATATTAATGTAAATTCTTACTGAAACATCATAGTCATGCTAGGAATAAGGCCTGTTGTGGAAATAAATACAATGAGCTCTAGAAAGAGTCTCTGGGCGGGTGCCCCGGCCTTGGAAACTCAGCATCAATTTGCTGTGGTGACCTCAGCAGGGTACAGTGACACAGAGTCCACCGTTTTCTCCAGGGGAACTGATCTCTGCCATCTGAAGAGCAGTTGTAATTCTGAATGATCTCCAGCCCTCACCTGGAGATTGGCAACAATGGTTTCCCAGGAGGAAATGGCTGGTTTGAAGAGTGGATTCTATGTCATTGTACCTGTCTGAGGTCCCACCCCTCCTCAAACCCCACCCTCTCCAGGATCCACCCCTCAAATCTGCAGGAACTTCGCAGCCTGGAATTGGCAACCCTATCTCCTTCCCAGCCCACCATCAACCAACCTTTATTTGCCCCTCTAACTTCAGTTTTCCATCTCCTCCCCACTCCCTGCAGTCTCTACCTAGGAAAAATACATTCTTTTTCTGCAATGGGGAACAAAAGCAGCTTACATCATTCTCCTCTTTCCTTTATCTGCACAACCACCCTGTGAGGTAGGTTAGGCTTTAAGTCTGTGAGTGGTCTGAAATCACCCAACCAGCTTCTCCAGCAAGAACCTGGGTCCAGCAGACCCTGCTCTGAAGTACTAACTGCTACATCACAGTGGCTGTCATGGGGGAGGGCTGCTGCTGGTGAACAAGAGCAAGCAGCCAGGCATAGTTAAGTCATGCCAGTCACGTGGCACCAAGTCACCCAGAGGATGCTGACAGGCCAAGGGTAGCCAACCTCCAGGTGGAGCTTGAAGATCGCCTGGCATCACAACTGAACTCTCTCTCCTGCTGGAGAAAATAACTGCTTTGGACGGTGGAGTCTATGGCATTCTATTCAGCTGAGGCCTCTCCCCTCCCCAAACCCTGGCTTCTGTAGATTCCACCAAAAAATCTCAAGGAATTTCCCAGCCTGGAGCTGGCAACCCTAGTCAGGACTGGCCCCAATTTCCCCACAAAGGCTAAAGTAGACCTGGAAAGGGCCTCCTGCCCCTGCCTTTTTACTGACAGAACCAAGCTTGGTTGCCTAGCAACAGCCTCTGAGGGAAAGTGAGCCCCACAGCAGAAGGAGAAGAGAATGGTTTGACAGCCAGTGGCTCACCTTAGTAGCCAACCAGCCAGCCGTGGAGGAGCCAAGCAGGAGATGTGGAAGCAGTAGAAGCCTCTTCCTGAGCAGGGAGCAGCCATTTCAATAGCCAGGCAGATGCGGAGGAGCGAAACAGTGGCAGTAGAAGCGTCTTCGTCAGGAGAGACAGACATTTTGACAGTTTATTTTTTCAGGGAAGAGTGACCAAGCCGGCAGTGGGCAGGGGAGAGAAGCCGACCCAACACCCAGCCAATGGCACGCGAGTACTCTTGAGTGGCAGTTGATGGGCCAATGGCTGATGGAGCGCAAAGCACAGCCAATGGGAGAGCTGGAAAGTGCCAATACGCTAGGGCTTTTATATATATATATAGGATGTGGGTTTGGGCAAGAGTCACAAGAAGGAACCATTCTCCACTGAACACAGTCTCTGTTCCAAAAGATGATCATCTAAACTGGCCTATGACTGGGTTTGTTTAAGAAGCCATTATTACCTTCAGAGATCTGTGTCCTAAATCCAGTAATTGGTTAGGCATAGAAATCCATACATGCACCACTAGATGCTAAGACCTCTGGACTGCATTAATTACATATAAACAATAACCATGGTTATCTTCTAACTTCATCTCATTTGCCAATTAAGTGGGATCCACAGATATTTGTGAGTAAAATATACAATTTTTCTGGGTGTATATACACCTATGGATGCCAGGAAAAAAAAAACAAGAGGGAAGGTAAAACTAATATTGGCTACAACATAATTTCATAGTAAACAAAAGAATATAACGTGCAATAGTGCAATTTCTCCTTTGCGGCTCCAACGTCTTTAATTTATGCAAGTCCATGGATTTTTTAAATTGACATTTCACTCCTAGTTTCGTCTCTGCCGTGGATTGCTGGTCCGGCTGGATTTCTGAACAGAATCGCTTTGCCCAGGTTCATTTCTGCCTTTTCCAGGATGACGGAGTTTCTGATCCCAGCGCTGCATCGTTTCAAAAGTAAAAAGTCAGTTTAGTGTACGTTCAGACAATTTACCATTAGCAGCCGTAAGCACTGGAATCCCAGTAGTAACTTACCCATCAGCCACCTATACTGAGTTTCTTGCAGATGGCCAGCTCATTACACAAACCATGGCTTAAGGTTACAGCTGTACATTAATACCCACGGCAAGTGGGTATTAATACCCACGGCAAGTGTAACGTGCACCCGCTCAGCCGAGTTCATCTTTAAACCTGCCCCAAGACTTTGTGCCCATTATTCCCACACCCCATGAAGGGGTAGCAGAAAATTTCCAAAACTCTGAATACCCAGTTGAGATATGGAAAACAGCAATGAGGGAAACGGTTGTATCAGAATCTGAGAGGGCTGCTAACTGATTCAATAAGAACTTAAGAGCTATTCGTGCACATTCTAGAATGAGAAAATTCGAGGTGGTGGGCGGGATTCTTCTGTATTTTTTTTTTCACCTCTCTATTGGATGTATTATCCTGGCCTGGATAGCCGAGGCTAACCCGATTTCATCAGATACCTCGGGAGCTCAGCAGGGTCGGCTCTGGCTGGCATTTGGATGGGAGACCTCCAAGGAATACCAGGGGCACAGATGCAGAGGCAGGCAGTGGCAAACCACCTCTGAAATGTCTCACCTTGAAAAAAAACCATGAGGGGTTGCCATAAGTCAGCTGTGACTTGATGGCACTTTTCACCACCAGTGACCATATTATTGATTTGGCTTGGTTGTACTTATGTATGTAATAACTATTCTAATAATACTTTCAAATGGGAATACAGAATATTAAAAGTATTCTTACTAATACTGAGTGCTGGTTTTGGCCTTTAAACTCTTCTCGTCTGGGCATGCCATGACCTGGATGGTCTAGACTAGCCCGATTTTGCGGTATCTCTGAAGTGAAGCAGGCTTGGCCCTGGTTATGGGAGACTACCAGGACTGCCACACAGAGGCAGTGGCAAACCACCCGTTTGAGTCTTGCCTTGATTTGGGGGGGGGGGGTTTCCCTGTTAAGTCGGCTGCAACTTTATGGCACTTTTCTACCACCCGTCTGGGCACTGTGTACCTCACGGTTCATTTCTTCCCATATAAACCTTTCCAAGGGTCTAGTTTCAGCTGGAGAAAACCTGCTTTAAATTCCATCTTGCAAGGGGAGCTTGGCTGACCTGCCATACAAAGTAGGATTTTCTCTGTAGCTGTCCCAGAGCTGTGGGACCTTCACTGGGGCTATTGGGGCTCTGCCCCTTTCCTTAAAGGGCCAGCCCCACAAGATTTTTGAGAAGATTTTTTGAGAAGAATGGGGCCCCCGTGTGCAAGCCCCCCTGCTTCTCAAAAGCATTTAAAGGGATGCTTTAAATGCTTTTGAGAAGACGTGGGGAATGATGTGTGCCTCCCTCCCTCAAGATTTAAAGGGCCTTCCAGCTGATCGGCAGGCCATGTGCTCCCCGCTAATCAGCTGAAGGGCCCTTTAAATCTTGCAGGGGGGAAGGGAGAAGGGTGGCCGCTGGCGGTTGGGCTTGGGGGCAGATTGGAGCTGACATAAAAATAATGGCAGCTGCACCATCCCCACCAGAAAATTTTTTGCCCCACAAGCCACAAAATCGTGGCTACAGGCCTGCCTCCAGCTATTAGGTACCACTTCTGCGGGTGTCCTGCAAGAAAGTACAAACTCTCTCATTTATTTGCCTTTTAGATAATACCCTGCCTGACTCTTAACCCATTTGCTGTTTGCTGTCTCTCTCCTTTGTTTCCCAATTCTTATTAGTCTTTTACTGGACTTCCTTCATGACTGTCCATCAACTCGGAACATCGTATAAGGCAGGACATAAATATTTGGAAACAAAATAATAAGACAAGATGAATTTACATTCCCCCAAGAGATAGCAAATTTTTTGGGGGGGTGGAATGTTTCAATATCATTTCATTTTTTTGTGTGGTAGGCAAGGATGTGCCATTTTTAAAAGAAAGGTTCTAAGTACCATGTTAAAGTTCAGACACTACAGGATTTTGACGGAGGGGAATGTAACTCAGATTTACTTATATGCAGAATCTTATTTAAACAACGTTAATTCCTGCTCTGGCTAAAGCCAGTGAATGGCTCGAACAAGTAAAACCTATACACATATGGACGTTTTGCAAGATTAGCCCCGAAGGTGTTATTAGAACACCAGTAATGGCTTTTTTTCCCCGGTACTTGGTTTCTAAACATTGCCTTTTCTCCTTCCAGAGTGCCTTTAATCAAGCAGTTCCCGGCCACCCTAGAGATCATATTAACAGTGAGAGTGAACTGGCCAACACTGACACATGATGATTCAAGCAGAAAAGTGTCCTGCATTTAAGATGTATTTATTTTTAAAATAAAGTCTTAAGTAAAGCCACCTGTGGGCCCATTTGAGAAAACAGAACGAAAAAGGAGGGGGGGGGGGGAAAAGAGAAACAGCCAAGTGATTTGAATGTAACAGCTGGGTTGGAGGAGAATCGCAAGTCAACCAAAGTTGGAAGGACAAACCATACATTTTAGACTCCTATGGCTGTGGCCAAGCCAACATGCTTTACCCCACACATCCCGTTCATTATCCAATACCCCTTTACCCGATCCAGCTGGATTCCTGAACAGAATCACTTTGCTGAGGTTCATTTTTGCCCTGTGTCTCCCCCACCGCCCAGAATTGCAGGCTTCCACTTTTAAAATACCCCCTCCCCCAAATAATAATGAATGTGCACAGCTGCATCCAGGAATCCATTACCCTCAGCGATAAACGAAATGCACAGTCCAATTGCATGCATGTGTTACTCGGAAGCAAGTATCAACATGGCTGACCTCCAGAGAAGTAAGTGTGCACTAGATTACAGGGTCATAAAAAGGTAAAGGTTCCCTTGCTCGAAAGCCAGTCGAGTCCGACTCTAGGGTTGCGGTGCTCATCTCCGTTTCAAAGCCGAAGAGCCAGCGCTGTCCGAAGACATTTCCGTGGTCATGTGGCCGGCATGACTAAACACCAAGGCGCACGGAACGTTGTTACCTTCCCACCGAAGCGGTGCCTATTTATCTACTTGCAATTTCTTGCTTTCGAACTGCTAGGTTGGCAGGAGCTAGAACTAGAGATGGGAGCTCACTCCATCATGCGGCACCCGGGTCTCGAACTGCTGAACTACCGACCTTCCACAGCCTGCAGTTCAGCGTCGTAACCACTTGAGCCACCGCAGCTCCTTCAGTGGGGTACAGGGTCATACATTAGCACAATTTCCTCATCTCCTTGGAGGAAGGGCAAGATTAAAAATAAATCGAATGTACACAGAGTGACATTAAACTGGAATTAATTCTGGGATTATCTGGTCTCAGTAAATCCTGGAGATGCCACTGTAGAAAGTAATTGCCCTTTCTTGGGCATCTGTCTACACCAGGGGTCCTCAAACTTTTTAAACAGGGGGCCAGTTCACTGTCCCTCAGACCATTGGAGGGGCCCTGATTGACTTGGGCCCTGAGTGCGGTGCACATTCCACACATGCGCACTGCGAGCCCAGGACGAGTCGGCTGCTAAGCAGGACAGGCAGCGGCGGCAAAAACACCCGGCGGGCCGGATAAATGTTTTCGGTGGGCCGCATGTGGCCCACGGGCCGTAGTTTGAGGACCCCTGGTCTACACAATTGATCTTGGTATTCACTATCACTGGGTGCGAACGAGGAATTCATCTGCTGTTGGGTCTTTGTTGTTTGACTGGATCTTCTATTCCTTTCTGTCCTGTGAGAAACCTACAGCTATCTCGTGTGGTTATCTGGTCTTTTAACCGAACTTTGTAAGAAAATAATTGGCTCCTCTTCTCTCTTTGCCCAGAACAATATACCTCTCCACTGAATTGATGCTCTGACCTAGATAGCACAGGCTAGCCCAATCTCGTCAGATCTTGGAAGCTAAGCAAGGTCAGCCCTGGTCAGTATTTGGATGGGAGACAGGGTTGCCACTGCAGTGTTCCCTCTAAGCTGAGTGAGTGTGAGCTAGCTCACAGTTTTTTAGCCTCCAGCTCACACATTTTTGCCTTCGCTCAGGAAGGATGGTTCCAGAGCACACTAATTTATGCAGCAGCCAAATGGCTCACTCACAACTTTAATGCCAGTAGCTCACAAAGTAGAATTTTTGCACACAGGATTTCACAGCTTAAAGGGAACATTGGTGGCCAGGTGCCCCCTGGCCACCGGTGGGGGATGGGTGGATGGGTTGCCAGATCTAGTTTAGGAAACTCCTGGGGATTTGGGGATGGAGCCTGGGGAGGCAGGGACCTCAGTGGGGTACATGGCCATAGAGTCCACCCTCCAAAGTAGCCATTTTCTCCAGGGGAACTGATCTCTGTAGTCTGGAGATGAGCTATAATTCTGGGGATCCCCAGGTCCCATCTGGAGGCTAGCATCCCTAATGGGAGACCACCAAGACGTCCAGGGTTGTGACACAGAGACAGGCAATGGCAAACCACCTTGGAACTTCTCTTGCCTTGAAAACTCTACCAGGGGTCACCATAAATCAGCTGTGACTTGTTGGCCAAAGAAAAAGGTGATGATCAAGCAGGCTTTGGCCTATATAGCCGGATACCCCAATCAGTTTGTTAGCTTTTAAGGTAGCTAGCTTTATATCAAATTTTGATAGTGCTCCTTCTCTAAGGAGCTTCGGAAAGGGGCACAGACCCCCCCACACCTTCATTGTTTTATCCTCAGAACCCTGTGGATACTGAAGGCCGAGAGACTTTTACCTGCCCAAGGACAATTGGTAAGCTTCACAGCCAAGTAGGGATTTGGACCCAGGTGTCACAAGACTGGGGATTTTTGCAAAGCTAGTCTCCCCTCATGAAACTTTGTTTGACTTTTTTTCCCCTTCAGCAAAAGGCGATGTCTGGAAAGCTTTTCCAACTCTTTTTTTTTAAAGAAAACACTAATATCTAGCCGTATGGCTGTCTCCTATGCTGGGAATGGAATGTGGTACCATTGGTTCATGGCCACACCCGTAGCCAGGATTTTGTGGCTTGTGGGGCAATTTTTTTTCTGGTGGGGCTGAAGTTCTCAGTGCAGAAAGAAAACCCATTTAGCCAACAGAAAAGCTGTTACCAAGAGAGATCTCTAAATTGCAAGCTGTCAACCACTTTAGATGACAGTCCTCAGCTGCTGCAAGTTGATCACTTCTGCCAGCCTAAGCAACAATTCTGAGAACAAGCCGGCAGGTGGGGGTGATGACTTCTCCAGTCAAGAAGGCTAACACTTAGGCAGAAAAACTCTCTTAAGGGAGACCAGCTTCTTGACACAGAGTGAGAAGGGATCCTAGAGGTCACTGACTCCAACCTCCTTGCTCAGTGCAGGAATTAGTCAACTACAGCACCCCGCTCTGCTTAAAGGAGTGCACGCCTTTAAAAAAATGTTTAAAAATGATTGAAAAAAAGCATTTACATGAGAAATCCTTGTGGGGCTGTGTCTTTAAAAAAGGGGGCAGAGCCCCCCAAAGCCCTACCTGTTCATGACCAAAGCCCCCCAAAGCTACAGGCCTGTTTATGACCAAAGTCCTGTGTGCTCATTCTGACTGTATATTCAATCAAAGTGCGTAGGAGGGGAGGATTTATGAGCCGTCTGATCCTGCCCCCTGCCTCCATGTGATCGTGGGCATGGCATCTACTTGAGGAAGAAGTGCATACATGTAGGCGCCTTCCCCATGATCCGGAAAGCTACCTTTTAAAAATGTTCTCAATCATAGGGAAAGGGGCCCATGCCCAAAGACTTCCTCCACTTGTAGACACTGTGCCCCCGAGCTGGTGATCACGTACAGATGGGGGGGGCAGCATGCCTGCACCCACTCCCCCTTACACGTGTTGAATGAACATATGGAGGAGACAGGTATACAGGGCTTGAGATTTTGGGGGACATGGAATTAAGTATGAAGCGCCATTGGAAAAAAATTAAGCCGCGAGCCATGTCGTGTCAAGGCTCCAGGCCAGTTTAGCTGAGCAGCATCAAATCATGTTAAGCAGACTACTAAAGCTTTCAGCAATGGAGACAGTGCATTAGAACAAGTCATGAACTTCTGCTTGGTCTTCTAGGACAGAAACACAACAACACAATCACACATTGAAGGCTTTTCTGGACACGTCAGGTTTCAATGAGATAAACAGGCAGGTGCTGCCCGTTTATTACAGAGAATCCAGATGTCTTCCCTCTGGGGTGTATTTATTATTAGAAGAACGTTATTATTTTCCCCAGCCTTAGATGAATACCTAGCAACATTCAGTTCTTCCTCTGCTAGCACATTCAGTTATTACAACTATGAAATGTGGAATGTGGTAATTCAAAAGTCGTGGACTTTATTTGACTTCTAGCCTGAACCCCAATGTGGCATAGCACATAGCACCCACCAATGGATTCCCTGGAGCTCATTTGCTTTTTCAACAAAGCATCTTTTCCTTAAAGCCAAGAGCGAGTCCTGGCTTTCTTCCACCTCGCTACATTGCGTGAGAAGAAACCAGGAAGCATCTACCTTTGTGCCTATTTACTAACAGCTGCCTCCGGCATAGTAGAAAGCTTAGATTGCGATCCCCCAAAATTCTCTGACTACCTTCAACATCCCATGGTGGCCATTTTGTGACTGACCCCTACGGCATCCATTTTGCACATTCCCCATCCTCAAAATCCCCAAATACCCACAGACTCAATACAATTTGGGACCCCCAGTGATGCTGCAATAAGTCTCTCCGTCTCACACCTGTGCCCCATTTACAAACTTTTAAAAATTTAATTCGTCGGCAGTTGTAGGCAACTTCTTCCCCCTCGAAAAAGCCCTAGAGTAATCACCTAGTGTTTCAGGCTGAAAAGCAGCAAGGTTATCCCACTGCCAATCCCCCCTCTGGCCTTCATTTGAACTTTTAGGTCTACATTATTTATGTGCCCTGCGTATCTTCTCTTTTTTAGTCAGATCCAATGCTAGGTCACTAACCCAGGCTATGCTTTAAAGAGATGTACACTGCCATATGAAACGCTGCACTATCGGTCCTGGGTTGGGATTCCTGCGACTGTATAAAACAACCTCCAAACATCTGGAAAGTGTCAGAGCTTGGTGATCTAGACAACAGTGGAGCAGCTATGATAAAAGAACATGGGTTGGCTATCGGTCTATCTTTAAAAAATAATAGCAAACTTAAGAATCAATCATTGTTTCCTTGGTTTTGCTGATTTCTATAACGTTTCCATCCAGCCTTTCTTCCCATCCAGACGGTTTACAATTACACCGTTCTAAATCCATTTAAGTCAATGGGCTTAGAAGAGCGTTAACTCTTCTCAGGATTGCTATGTTAGTCCAGAGTATGCATCACAATGGAATATTTATCAAGCTTCTGCTAGGCCACTGTACCCGATAGGCAACAGACTGGAACCAGCTTAGTGATTCTGGTCTCGATTAGCGTGTTCATGGGGAAATGGAGAGCAATGCTGTGATTTCATACGTTTTTTTTCCAGCAATGAAAGCGAGAAATCCCGTATTTCTGAACTAAAGCTTAGTTATTAAGGCTCTGCTCTGCTAAATAAGTGAACTTTGGGGCCTTCCTGTTTTAACAGATAAAGCCCCGTAACTAAAGAGTTCACATCATAATTCTATCCACATTGCCAAGTAATTCCAAAGGATTTCGTTTGATTCAAAGAGACCCTTCCACGAATACTGAAATAACAGAAAGACCTTCAAAGCCCCAGCGCTTTCCCCTCTGGAATCCCAAAAGACAGGTATTTAAAGTGCCTGACTTAATGCTCTCCAAACCCCTGTAGAGATGAACTGAGAGAACTATTGTTTCATGCTCTGGCAGCGGTAAAAGAAACAGAAGAACAAATGCAATTGAGGCAGATTGGCACGGCACTCAAAGGGAAAGGACAGCTCAAAAGAAGCGACAGTAAAAAGATCTCAGAGGCCTCACGTACATGATTAAACACACCCAGTGGCACAGGAACAGCACCGATTACTTTATTTCTTCACGGACGGTGTATCTCAGGGGTCCTCAACATGACGCCCATGGACGCCATGGCATCTGCCATCACCTTTCCTGGTACCCACCAAGTGCTTTTAGAAAGTGTGTGGGGCCAGGTGCGGCTTCTGCCAATAATCCCAGCAAGGATTATGACTGTTAAATGTCTGTTAAAATGTTGCTTCAGTAACAGATGCCACCGCAGCACAAGTATCTTCACTGTTACGCCACCTACCTCGCAGGCAATGTTCCCTCTAAGCTGTGGAGTCTTGTGAGCAAAAATTCTACTTTGTGAGTTACTGGTATTAAAGTTGTGAGTGAGTGATTTGGCTACTGCATAAACGAGTCTGCTATGGAGCTATCCTTCCTGAGCTAAGACAAAAATGTGTGAGCTGGAGGCTAAAAAATTGTGAGCTAGCTCACACTAACTCATCTTAGAGGGAACACTGCTCACAGGGTGTCTGTTGTGGGGAGGGGAAGGGAAAGGAGATTGTAAACCGCTCTGAGACTCCTTCGAGTAGTGAAGGGCGGGGTATAAATCCAACCTCTTCTCTTCTTCATTTATTTGTGTGGTTTTGGGGTTAAAGTCTTTCCAGCTAGATTAGTGTGAGAGCAATCCTAAACTTGACTCCTCAGAATCTTACTCTAGTGTATTGAATGAGGCGTACTCTCAAGAAAGTGTCCTTAGGACTGCACTATAAGATGGCTGCTCTTGGTCTTCTGTGGATTTGTTTAGGTTGTGATTATGCGGAGATCCTTTTCTTGCTATTGTCTTTCTGTACTGTCCACTGATTATTTATGGTTTGTTGTTAATGGTTTTACTGTCTATTGCAGTTTGTTGGGAGCCGCTGTGAAGAGCACTGGAAAAGCAGGATATTAATTTTCAAAAATTAATATTTGTATTGAGAACACATACATGACAATATAAATACAGGATGGCTTCCCCTTGTACTAACTTCATTATGAATACTGGCACAGTTTTATTGGTCTGAAACCAGCAATTTCAAGATGAACGACTGGGAATAAATAACTTGAACTTTGTTCTCAATAATCATTTAAGTTTTAAGGTATTTGCTTACATCTTAGGAATTGCTGCAGATGAAGGCTCAATTTTTGGTATGAGAAAACCACATTTTCTCATATCAAATCAAACCAATAACCTTTATTAGGCATTTAAAGCCACATTTTCTCAGGAAATCGTCGCTGTTGTATTAACAGATGATGTCTAAGTTCAGCAGCTGCTTGTGGGAGAATTTTCTTTTTTTACCAAAGTCAAATATGTTTAAACAATGAGTCTTACCTTTACTTTTTTACCTAGACGGTCTTTCCATTTCTCAGCTATGGAGCCTTCTACCAAGAGTAACCTATGCATCACAGAGGAAAAATATTTGTTTCATGTAAGTAAAGAGTGAAAAACAGATCCAGTGAGGAACAGAACATTCCATGTTCAAGGAGGAAATGGCGGTTCACTAAGAAAAGGGGATTACATTCAGACATTAAGTACTGCACCCTTTACCATATTGCAGTGGTTAGCGAGTGCTGGACTAGGGTCTGGGAGACCCAGGTTTGAATCCCCACTCTGCCATGGAAGCTTGCTGGGTGACCTTGGGCCAGTCACATACTCTCAACCTAACCAACTTCACAGGGTTGTTGTCAGGATAAAATGGAGAAGAGGAAAATCTTGTAAGCCACTTTGGGTCCCTGCTGGGGAGATAAGTGGGGTATTGATGGAGTAACCAATTAAAAAAAGAAACCTTCTGAAAAAGTGGGGAAGGTGGTTAAACCGTGCAGACGTTGTTTTGCACTCTGGCTGACTCTGCATTGGCTTTTCCCTCCGTTGTTTTATGAAAGCCATCTTGGAACAGAAAATTCCCCCTCTGCATTGCATGCCGCTTTCACTTCCTTTGATAATCGGATTTTGTGGTACCTTCTGCATAGATTTATGGCCGTTTTATGGCCGTTCAGGGGTGACTTTGCAGCCAGTACAGCATTGCCCCGAGGTATCTGAATGTGGTTTTGAGCTGCACTTTTTCCTCCCAGCTGAGAAAATGTGGAGCGAACGCTATATGCAGAATCGCCCTTGGACAAGGGCAGACGGAGTTGGAGAGGGGAGAGAAGGAAGCAGTAGGTAATTTAAATGTCCAGTATGTTGTTCTGCCAGCAGAATACATTGATCTGGCCACCGAAAAGGATTGGGCTGACAGGCTTCTGTGGTGTGCGAGAAAGAGAGGGAGAGAAAGAAAGTTTAGTTACCTGGACCGTTCTTCATCTTCATAACCCATAATGATGTATTCTTCATTAGCATGAAGAGGTGGGCAGAGGCAACCAGAATTTGTGTACAGGTTAACAGTGTCTCTAGGAATGTTCACCAAGGAAGATTTTAGAATCTCCTTCACTTCGACTACTGCAGTGACATCATGACATTTGGTCTTCACCTCCTTTACTTTAGCCCGAATAACTAAGGGGAGAAAAGAGAATTTATTTAAAATCATGCAACCCAGACACATATGTCGTTCTGAGTGTTTATATTCCTCTGAACCCTACTTTCCTGCTTTATGAAAACGGAGGGTTTGTCTTTTACTTTATAACTGCTGTCATCCTCAAGCCCTTCTTAAAGAAAGATTGCATGTGTAAGCATCGTGTTTGTAGGAAGCTGGATTTACATCCATCACATTTGTATTTCTCGGAATCACACAATGAGGGTTGGTCCTGGCACTGCTGTTTTCTGTGTCGTCATCCCCCCCTCCCCCCCCAATACATGGCTAGTGGTTTGGGTGAAAAAAATTCAGGATAATGTCCATATTGGAATTTTTATTTTTCAGTGTCGCAGTGGGCCTTCCATTGCACTGGGTGGTACGTAGGATTGCCTGGCTCCAGGTGGCACCTGTCGATCTCCTCCTATTACAATTGATCTCCAGACAACCAAGATCAGTTCCCCTAAAAAAAACTGCCTGCTTTGGAGGGTGGACTCTATGGCCTTGTACCCTGCTGAGGCCCCTCCCCTCCCCAAGCTCCACCCCCACAATCTCCAGGTGTTTTCCAGCCCAGAGCTGGCAACCCTAGGGGTAGGGTTTGCTTTCAGCCATCTTCCTTGTTCTTCTGAACGTTTGTGATAGATGGCATTATAAGGTATGCTTGTTAATATCAGACACCTGGTTTGGTACCCAAGCAGTACTGAATACAAAAATGAATATTATAATTCATTTTTGTGTTTGTTTCTATAACAGCTTAGTAGCACACAATATCATCAAGTTTTACTATGCTGCCTGTACCTATAATTTCCTTTGTGAAAACACACTTAAGTCAGTTTGGTGTAGTGGTTAGGAGCGCGGACTCTAATCTGGGAGAACTGGGTTTGATTCCCCACTCCTCCTCCACGTGCAGCTGCTGGTGTGACCTTGGGACAGTAATAAGTTCTTTCAGAACTGTTCTCTCAAGGACAGTTCTCGGGAGAGCTCTCTCAGCCCCACCTCCCTCACAGGGTGTCTGTTGTGGGGAGGGGAAGGGAAAGGAGATTGTAAGCCACTCTGAGACTCCTTCAGGTAGTGAAGGTAAAGGTAACAATTCCCTTGCTTGAAAGCCAGTCAAATCCGACTCTAGGGTTGCGGTGCTCATCTCCGTTTCAAAGCCGAAGAGCCAGCGCTGTCCGAAGACGTTTCTGTGGTCATGTGGCCGGCGTGACTAAACACCAAGGCGCACGGAACGCTGTTACCTTCCCACCAAAGTGGTACCTATTTATCTACTTGCAATTTCTTGCTTTCGAACTGCTAGGTTGGCAGGAGCTGGAACTAGAGATGGGAGCTCACTCCGTCATGCGGCACCCGGGTCTCGAACTGCTGAACTAAATCCAACCTCCTCCTCCTCCTCTTCTTCTTCTCATGAATAAGTTCTTCTATAAAAATAAATTGGTAGCCTGGAATTGATCATGATTAATTCTGGGATTCATTTTCATACTGACTAGTATCTCTGCTGGTGGTGGGAAGGGCCATCAAGTCGCAGCCAAGTTACGAAGACCCCGTAGGGTTTTCAGGGCAAGAGATGAGCACAGGCGGTTTGCCATTTCCTGCCTCGACTGTGTGGCAACCCTGGATTCAGAGAGTCTCCCATCCACATACGAACCAGGACCAGCCCTGATTAGCTTCCGAGATATGATGAAACCAGGCTCGCCGGGGCCACCCAGGTCAGGACAGTATCTCAGTTATGGGGACATATATTTGTTCCTCCCACGATAACCCCCCCACACACACTTCTTGTACACATTTATGATTACATGGCTGGAGCCAAACTACACAGTATATTTTTAACGAGTCTGTTCAGTATTCATTGCACATAGTAAAGCTAAAGGTAAAGGTTCCCTTGCTCGAAAGCCAGTCGAGTCCGACTCTAGGGTTGCGGTGCTCATCTCCGTTTCAAAGCCGAAGAGCCAGCGCTGTCCGAAGATGTTTCCGTGGTCATGTGGCAGGCATGAATAAACACCAAGGCGCACGGAACGCTGTTACCTGCCCACCGAAGTGGTACCTATTTATCGACTTGCAATTTCTTGCTTTTGAACTGCTAGGTTGGCAGGAGCTGGAACTAGAGACGGGAGCTCACTCCGTCATGCGGCACCCCGGGTCTCGAACTGCTGAACTACTGACCTTCCACAGCCTGCAGTTCAGCGTCATAACCACTTCAGCCACCGCAGCTCCATTCATTGCACATACAGCCTACCAACTGGGTAAACGAACACCGCCCTGGGACCATTTCCACTCAGGAAACCTGGGGGTGGGGAGGCAAAAGGCCCTTCCACCCCTGGGGCCACAGTCCTGATCTGAAGTCTAAATTCACTTTGCATTCATTAATGCCTATTTGTCTTCTGCCTCCCCATTTTTTGGTCATCTCACTTATGCCTACCCAGAGCTTCCCTCCGTTGTAGCCCAGTCCTGCAAAACTGCAGGTTGTTCACCTGTTCTCGTTTCCAACTTACAAGGGAAGGATTCAGAGAGCAAAGGAGGCACAGGATTTAACACAGGCAGTTGCTTGCAAGCGACAGCCAATGTGCCAGCCAGAACAGCCCATCTCCACTACACCACCCCTCTGCTTCACGGGGGGGCCCACTGATGGCTTTACTGAGACCTCCACTGAGGGACCTTTTTTGGTTATTCGGCACTGGCGCACTGGCACTGTGGCCTCAGGGCACCCTGAACTGCCACCTTAAGGGCACAAAAAGAAAATATGGTATTGGCTAAATCTGTGATCCCTTTAAGATGGCCATTAAGCACCCTCTGCGTTCTGTTAATTGAACGTGAGCATGTGTGTGTGTGAGACTGAGTCCTTTCAAAATGATCTGCTGTTAGAAAGTCAGGTTGGTGTAGTGGTTAAGAGTGGCAGACTCTAATCTGGAGAACCGGGTTTGATTCCCCACTCCTCCACATGCAGCCAGCTGGGTGACCTTGGGTCAGTCACAGTTCTCTCAGAGGTCTCTCAGCCCCACCCACCTCACAGGGTGTCTGTTGTGGGGAGAGGAAGGGAAGGAGATGGTATGCTGCTCTGAGACTCCTTGGGGTAGTGGAAAGCAGGGTATAAAAACCAACTCCTCCTCCTTCTCCTCCTCCTCCTTCTCATTGTTCCCTACACAGCCCATTCTCAGTATCTTTCATGCTAAGAAGAGTAACTGGAAGAACAGATGTATCACTCCAAGGCCCAGATTTGTCAGAGACACAGTCAGGTGCTGACCAACTCTGCAGGTGCATGTTTCACTTTCATAGTCATGCTCAGGAATCAAAATAAGTCCACACATTAATGTGTATGTGCTATCAAAGTGGCTTAGATCCAGTGGTGTGCAACTTAGCTGAAACAGAACCTGTCAGAGGGAATGACTTTTACAGCAAAGGATATGACCCAACCAGGGACCGTCTTAATTTTACCAGTCTTCCCCTGAAGATACTGTTGGTCTGCAGTAAACAGTTAGACTTGAGTCCAGTGGCACCTTAGGTAAAGGTAAAGGTTTCCCTTGCTCGAAAGCCACTCGAATCCGACTCTAGGGGGCGGTGTTTATCTCCGTTTCCAAGCCGAAGAGCCAGCGCTGTCCAAAGACATTTCCGTGGTCATGTGGCCGGCATGACAAGATGACAAGACGCAGGGAACGCTGTTACTTTCCTACCGAAGTGGTACCTATTTATCTACTTGCAATTTCTTGCTTGCAAACGTCTAGGTTGGCAGGAGCTGGGACCAGAGACGGGAGTTCACTCCGTCACACGGCATTCGGGTCTCGAAGGGCTGAACTACCAACCTACCGGTCTGCAGTTCAGCACCTTAACCTTAACAGACCAACAAGATTTTCAGAGTATAAACTTTCAAGATTCAAAGCTTTGACTTTCAAAAGTTTATACCATGTTGGTCTGTAAGGTGCTAAAAGACTCTAACAGTCCTTCCCTGCAGTCTTCTTCCTTCCAGGTTAGATGGGAACTGTAGTTTTTGCAGCCTCCCAAATGGAATCAGAAGGCCAAAAATTTCCATCATAAGTTCCATCTCTCAATCCAGTACATGCAGTCTAGTAAATCTGGTACATAAACAGCATCAACTGGCCATCTGAAGGTGAAGGGTTGGAACCCTTTCCCTATGAGGAAAGGTTAAGGCGCTTAGGGCTCTTTAGCTTGGAGAAACGACGACTGAGGGGTGACATGATTCAGGTTTATAAGATTATGCATGGGAAAGAGCAGGTAGAGAAAGAGGTACTTATCTCCCTTTCTCACAATACAAGAACTCGTGGGCACTCCATGAAATTGCTGAGCGGTCGGGTTAGAACGGATAAAAGGAAGTACTTCTTCACCCAAAGAGTGATTAACACATGGAATTCACTGCCACAGGAAGTGGTGGCGGCCACAAGCATGGACGGCTTCAAAAGGGAATTAGATAAGCATATGGAGCAGAGGTCCATCAGTGGCTATTAGCCACAAGGTATAGATAGAGGCTCTGGGGCAAGTGATGCTCCCGTCTTCTTGGTGCTTGGGGGGGGGGTCAACAGTGGGAGGGCTTCTAATGTCCTGGCCCCACTGGTGGACCTCCTGATGGCACTGGTATTTCTGGCCACTGTGTGATACAGAGTGTTGGACTGGATGGGCCTTTGGCCTGATCCAACATTGGCGTCTCTTATGTTCTTATGTTCTTAATGGTGCCAGCTGTGCATGAATAAATACCCTCGAAATACTTTTTGTCTAAACTGTAAACAGGTCAACAAGGTGAACATGTGGGGTCCTCAGCTGGAGAGAAAACACATTTTCAAACACATCTGCAAGGGTTGCAGTATCACTATGTAAAATGACAGGCTGATCCTGCCCACACAGGGAAAGAAAAGAAAAAAAATACAAGTTTCCAGCTGCCAGAGATTTGCACTTATTTTTAAAACAACTGATCAAGGATTGTAAACCTTATCAAAACTTTTCTGATAGAGACAAAAATGTGCATTGGCAAGACCAGCTGCCTTTCACTCAAATGTTTATTCTTTTCCCACAAAGCCATGCTTACCGTAGTTGTAATTGTTCCGAAGATAAGTTTTCTGAGTAGCTTTTATAGGTTTGCATTTGCAGCGCTCTGGAAAACAGAAACTCTTGGGGTTAGAGTCAAGAACCAGATGAGAATAAGCGTCAGATATATGCTCTGACTTGTCTGAATTTCCTTTTCTAAAAACTCAGGTGCTAAAAGCTCAGGAAGCCTAAAGTTCTGCTGTCAGGAAGCCTATAGCTCTGCTGTCAACCCTGGGTTTCAATGTGCATGCACGACTAATGGGACAGACTGGAAAGCAAAAGAAGAAGAAGAAGAGATTGGATTTATACCCCACCCTTCACTACCCAAAGGTGTCTCAGAGCGGCTTACAAACTCCTTTCCCTTCCCCTCCCCACAACAAACACCCTGTGAGGTGGGTGGGGCTGAGAGAGTTCTGACAAAAACTTCTCTTTTTTCAAGAACAGCTCTTATCAGAACTACGACTTGCTCAAGGTCATCCAGCCAGGTGCAAGTGGAGGAGTGGGGAATAAAACCCAGTTCTCCCAGATTAGAGTCTGCGCACTTAACCACTACATCAAACAGTGTTCTAGTACTGTTAATAGTTATATAAAAAGCAGGACTTTAGCAGGTACCTTCTTATGAAACCTCTGTTCAAGAACTACACCTATCAAGTGTCCCTCTTCTGTCTAATCATGAAAGGTTTAGGGGCTCTGCCCTACCCATCAAATCCCTCCACCACAATGCTCTCTTCTAAGCTGTGAAGTCTTGTGAGCAAAAATTCTACCTTGTGAGCTACTGGCATTAATGTTATGAGCAAGTAATCTGGCTACTGCATAAATTAGTTTGCTCTGGAGCCGTCCCTCCTGAGCTAAGACAAAAATGTGTGAGCTGGAGGCTAAAGAACTATGAGCTAGCTCACACTAACTCAGCTTAGAGGGAACACTGCTCCACCAGCCCCATTTTCTTTGTTGTTTGTGTATGAAATTCCACCGTGGGCTGAAGATTCCAGCTTAGGTGTGGTGGACCTCCTAAAAGGTTTAACTGAGGATGATGCCAATTTTAACATCTGAACTAATCCTAGGGAAATCTTTCTAGGAACATGGAAGCAATTTCTTAAGCCTTTAAAGGCAAAACTCACAAGCTTATCCTCAACATTTCAAAAGTATGAAGCAAAACATAAGCATAATGGATACTCATGGTTAGTACAATCAGGGCTCTAGTCGGGGGGGAGCTCTCAGGTACGGAGCTCCGGAAGAGAACCTCTAGGGGGCGGGGCGGTCACGTGGTGAAGCCCCGCCCCCTTCTTTACCCCGCCCTCTGCTTCGATCCTCATTCCGTTTGGGAATGAGGATGAAGCAGGAGGGTAAGTAGCCGGGCCTTCTGACACACTTCCGGTGATGTCAGGGGGCATGGCATATGCAAATAAGTTATGCTAATGAGTTATGCTAATGAGCTCCGGCAGCTCTTTTTCTACAACAAGACCCCTGAGTACAATACATTATTGGAGACACAGCTGTAAAATTTTATTGTTACTAACACCACATTGCGGAGAGGGCGGGGTATAAATGTGATAAATAATCAGGGCTATTTTTCGGCAGGAACGCACAGGAACGGAGTTCCGGCTGGCTCCTGAGTTGGCCACGCCCAGCAGGAACTCATTATCATGATAGGCCACACCCAACAGCAGGAACTCATTAGGATTGGCTACATTAGGGGTGTGTGGCCTAACATGCAAAGGAGTTCCTGCTACAAAAAAAGCCCTGGGTTTTGACAACAAACAAGGTAAACAGAATAAGAAGCAAAAGGTGGGTGTGGCTGGATGAGCACACTTCTGGTGACACAGGGGTGTGGCCTCATATGCTAATGAGCTGTGCTGTCAGGGGTGTGGCCTAATATGCTAATGCGTTTCTGATGTTGGGTGTGGCCAATTATGCTAATGAGTTCCTGCTGGGCTTTTTCTACAAAAAAAGCCCTGTAAATAATAATAAATAAACCTGCAACACCGTTTGGCATACCAGCTGCCAGTTTATAGCAGGTAGCCTCTCAGATTTATTTGCCACACTCCACCCATATTTAACAGAGCAACAGGAGGAAAATGGGGGATGGAGACATCGCATAATGTACAACATTACTTCCAGGCCAAAACCTGGAAGTGACATCACCATCTCCCAACGCTCTAGGAATCCCACCAATCTTTCTGGCTTTCACCCGGAAGTGACATTACATATTGCAGAAAGTCTTTACACCCATGTCCTGCCCCTCAAAGTCTCCTCGGGGACCCAGGCAACCCTATCCCCTATGTAGGTTACAAAAGCAGGAAAACCAGGCTGCCCACAGACAAAGTCAGGCTCTGTCCCAACTCAAAATAGGCTAATGCAAAGGCAATTAAAAAAGGCTAATGCAATCTTGGGGTGCATCAACAGAGGCATAACATCCAAATCACAAGATGTCATAGTCCCACTGTAGACTGCATTGGTCAGGCTGCATCTGGAGTATTGTGTGCAGTTCTGGAGCCCTCACTTCAAAAAGGATGTGGGCAGAACGGAGCGGGTGCAGAGGAGAGCGACGAGGATGATTGGTGGCCTGGAGACCAAGCCCTGTGAGGAAAGGCTGAGGGACTAGGGAATGTTCAGTCTGGAGAAGAGGAGGCTGAGGGGGGACATGACTGCTCTCTCTAAGTATTTGAAGGGCAGTCATTTAGGAGGGCAGGGAGCTGTTCCTGTTGGCAGCAGAGGATAGGACTGGCAATCATGGGTTTAAATTAAGGGCGGGAAGGTTCCGGCTGGATCTTAGGAAAAACGTTTTGACAGTCAGAGTTGTGCCACAATGGAATCAGCTGCTTAGGGAGGTGGTGAGCCCCCCCCCACACACACACACACACTGGCAGTCTTCAAGCAGCAGCTGGACAAACACTTGTCAGGGATGATGCCTCTTTGTAAGCCGCCCTGAGCCCACGTAGCGGGGAGGGTGGGGTATAAATTGAATAAAATAAATAAATAAATATGATGCTCTAGGCTGATCCTGCATTGAGCAGGGGGTTGGACTAGATGGCCTGTCGGGTCCTTCCAGCTCTTGCGATTCTATGACTCAAGATATGCATAAAACATGGCATTGTAAATTAACCAAAGACAAATAGGTCCGAATGTGCCCCAGGAGGCACGGCATGTTTAGTGCAGTTGAGATGCAGTTAACAGTGGGAAGGGGCAATTAACCTGCTCAAGCTCTTGAAGCCCCCAGAATTATGGAAGTGGAAATTATGGAGGGCAGGGAAATTTCCATACTGTCTTCCCCCAACACACAATTCCTCATATGTTCCAGGGGCTTGCTGGGAATGCAGGAAAAAACTACTTTGTAAAAAAAAAAAGTAAAGAAAAAAAGAGTTCAAAACCTTGACAGAGGTAAAAGGAGGAGGAACAGAAATAGCAGTTAGGAGCTGGTTCAAAAAAAGTAGGAATTCAGAACTGTGCTGGGCTTTGTGAGAGAAACCACAGGCCAATTTCTGGTATTAAAAAAAGCCCAAAGTGATATAAAACAGGCCACAGTAATCTATAGGGAAGAATGAAACAGGGGAGAAGAAAATTGTAAAAAGAACCAAAGATGAAAATACAGTATATTGAGGGGAAGTGGGTAAGAAAGAAGACAAGGCAGTGGGGGGTGGATCCACTGGAAGGTCCTCTCAGTCTCCCACTTTTCTCCTTCCCCCAGAATTCCCTTCTAACCCTTGAAAAGTTGATTCCTGGGAAAGGGAAAGCAGCAAAATTCTACAACCCTTACGTCAGCAGGGTTTTTTTGGGGGGGAAAGAGGTGCTGGAACTCTCAAGAGGGAAATGAAGTTGTCAATCTGTATACTGAAAACTCATGAACTTTTAAACATTTTTAAAATAATTTTGTTGAAGAGGTTCCGGAACTCCATTCCAGCATGTTCCCCCAGAAGAAAAAGCCCTGACTGGATCTAACCCAATCACAGCTGGAAACTCTGGAGGAAAGCAACTATTTAAACGTAGAAATGTAGACTTAGGAAAATAATGTGTTATGTGTGTTGGGAAATTTCCAGTACTGTATTAGGATACACCAGTGTTGTAATGGACTGATTTTTTAAAAAAAATTATTTATTTTGTAATTAGGGTATGTGTTTCCATGAAAAATTTCGAAGGAACAAAATAGCTTTGAAAGAAGCAACAGGTAGCAAGCCTAGGTTGTTAATGAAAATAAAACTGAGGGAAGACCCACGTATGTCAATTCTGTGAGGGAAATAGATGTTGACAGCCACACCTGCATTGAATTACACGTACAATTAGCCATTTAAAAAAAGCACAGGAAAAATTCAGTGAGAGGGATAAAAGAGAGCTTTGTAAAAAAAAAAGATATTCACATACTGTTTCAAAAATCAACATCATATAGCGCAAGCTACCCAACATATTCCCCTCTCTGCTGGAAAAGGCGCGGGGCGCAAGGTTCATTTCTACACTGTTGGTGGCATTGTCCTCCTATTCAAGACTTCTGGAATTGGGTTAGAAACCAAATCTTTGTCATTACAGGGTTTTTTTTTCTTCCTTTATGTCCTGATTTGATGTTATTAAATTTCTGGGATTTTCATAATATCCCTTCCATACGGAAAGATTTAATAATGGTTCTTTGTGCTGCTGCTCACTTAGTAATTGCTTCTACTCGGAAGACCTTTTAACTATGGATAAGATTCTAGGGCAAGTTTCGCTTTACCTTTTGGTACCCTGTTTTAGAGTTGTTTGGTAACACGTCCACTCTAGACTGTTTAATACTTGAATTGACTTCTTGCCCTTCCCCTGACTTCCTTCCTTGTTCCAAGTTTTATCTAGAGGTTACTCATTATATACTTTAACTATAAGACAATTTACTTTGTATGATTTAGGGTTGCCAGGTCTGGGTTGGAAAATACCTGGAGAATTTGGGGGTGGATCCGGGAGAGGGCGGGGTATGGGGAGGGGAGGGGCTTCAGCATGGTAATGTGCCACAGAGTCCACCCTTCAAAGCAGCCATTTTCTCCAGGGGAGCTGATCTCTGTCAGCTGGAGATCAGTTCTAAAAGTGGGAGATCCCCAGGCCCCACCT